CCACCCCTCTGCTCATTGGTTGCAGACTGGGTATCTCGTCCTCCACGGGGTCCGTTAGCCTCATCCGCTTTGCTTTTTGTGTCTGAAACTGCTCGTCCGCCTCGTGGCCCTGTTTCTGCAGTTGACAATGCGTCCGATTTCTGACTTGATTTATCGATGCTTCTTCCACCCCTTGGTCCACTGGCATCTGCACTTCTTCCTCCACGGGGCCCGACGTTTGTATTTGACAAATAAGAGGAATCTTCTACACTCCTTCCCCCACGGGGTCCAATGTCGCTTTCCACTGATCTTCCCCCACGGGGTCCAATATTACTTTCCACAGATCTACCCCCACGAGGTCCAATATTACTTTCCACAGATCTACCCCCACGGGGTCCACTGTCGTTCTCAACCGATCTCCCTCCACGAGGTCCAGCTCCAGTTGCTACAGATCTTCCTCCTCGGGGTCCATGGTAGACACTCCTCCCCCCTCGTGGACCATAGTATGCACTTCTTTTCCCTCGAGAGTACAGTGAATGTTTGTAATCTCCGTCTACGTTCTGATAGTATTCCTCAGGCGGCTCAAAGGGGCCATACCATTCTTCATAAGTGGGATAGTTCAATTCGTATTCCCTTCCTTCAAAGTCCCTCGGGTAAACTGAACCGTAGTATAAGTATTCGCCCTTATTCTCAGAATTTATGCTTTGATTTTCTTCCTTTTCAGCCGACCTGGAACTCCTGTCCTCTTCTTCAATACTGTAGGAGTTTTTCACCGATCCAACATTGTTGTAAAAGACTTCGTCTCTTTTCGCAACGGTTTTCTTCTGTTGAGTCGTTTGTTCTTCGGCAAACACTCTGGTCAGACTGAGAATGCAAAAAAAAAGAGCGCTAATGCTCCGTTCTTCATGTTACTTGACAACGGCGAAATTATTTGTAATCCAGCAGATAACTCTCCCGAACAATTACTTCAAAGAAGTTTAAACAAGTATGATAAACCAAGAAAGTTTTTAGCGCTTAATTTGGAGGTCAAAGCGCCAGAACTTTTAAGCAGGCAACATTTCACCTCTGTGTCCTTATATCATCGTTTTCACTGCGTCAATAATTGATGATGTCTTGAGCCAATTTCATCTCGCGCAATATGACATGTGCGTAACAGAGTTTCTTACGCTGGCGTAAAACCACAACGATACACCGCCGCTTGATAACAGAGCTGACAAAAACAAACTATGCGTATTCCTCATACTCCAAACTCAGTACAAACACAATCCTTTCCTTAATCCTAATTAAGTACGGATATCTTAGTAGCAAAAATACGAGATTCCTTCAAAGAGCGATGGCTACGCCTTGTTCTACCACGCATTCCGTGGGGGATTTTGCCAGATGGGCAAAGATTTTCGGTGGTTTTGGATGTGATGGTGGACTGAAAAAGGCTATCGCAATCGATAAGAGAACTCATTCTTTTTTATTCTTAATTGGAAAGATCTTTTCTGTTCCTTGTAGAAACCATTAATCTGTAATCAGGAAAAATTGAAAATCGTGAATAAAATGCTGTTTGTTTGACTGTCTGTTTTTTTTATTTGGATGTTTCTTTTCCCTTTTTTTCGGTAAGAAGGGTAAATAAGTTTAATGGCCAACCGCCTGTCTGTAGATAGTCTTAACTCGATTCGTGGTTCATTTATTGCTACTTTTTTGCTCAGTTTTCTTCAACTCCTTTAGTGATCAATCGAATTCTAAAAAAGTCTGAGAATTACAAAGAGCAGAAACAAAAGATTGAAAATTATCGCGTGATGGTTTTATTTTATACAACATTTACGAAATTTGGTAGAAACATGATGTTTTACATACGGATATATAAACAATTTAACTTTTATTATGAACACGGGGGAAATAGAACGATTGACATTTGGACAAATTTCTGTCACTCAAAGAATAATACAAGAAAACGAATGAGGATTATCGAAGTTAAGTATTTGCGCTTTGGGTAAGCTTCAGACGCGACATTAATCGTCGTCATTGTTTTAGTGAGCAACTGGTCCCCAATGTTGCTTGTGAATTTGAGTTTTATTTCCCTCCATAGTGTTTATTTCAGAAAGTTAGCAAAGGCGTCCAAGAAACGCCCACTGTTTTATGAGGGGATGTTTTAATCGGTGTAATTATAGTTTATAGTTTGCCAGCAAAATAATGATATGCACAGTAAGTTTTGAAAGAAATATTTGCAATTTTGAAGCCAGCTTTTGTCTTGTTGTTTATAACTCGAAAGACTACGATGTAAACTTTTTCAATTTCTAGCATTTATTGGGTTGAATTCCTAGGTTTTCCTCACGGAACTCATACGCACTTTTTTTCGATCGATTTGCTTTGCAGTTATTGGTCTTATTTACGTTGATACATTTCCGACCACTAGTATTTTTGTCCGTATTTCTCCGACTAAGGACTTCTCTTCATTACACATTTTTCTTAGAGCGTGACAACTCAGATTGCCTTGTCCATTACTATTCCAGAAAGAAGGCGCGCAAATGGAATTTAAAAAAATTAAATTAAGGGGCTATCTGGGTTTCTTTATTACTCCGGTTTGCAGTTATCGTTCCAATGCGGTGAACTTTTGCAATTGTCAAAATTCCTTTTTCTTTTCTTTTTTTGTTTTGTTTTTTGTTTTGGGGTCGGGGAGGGGTTGGGAAATGATTCAGGTAACATGGCTTAATAACTAATATAAATATACGGCAACGTCGTCACTTTAGACCCGACGCAAAGTTTTCCTGCGTTGGAGAAAATGACAATTTTCGTCATCAACGAAACAGTTGTTCTCTCGTGGTCTGATTGCACCTGGACTTTTCCCAATAACATCTGTGATTGAACAACCACAAAACTGTGGCTTCAACCGAGGAGGGGATTTTCCCACTAGATCTTACAGATGCTAAAATTAGATATCGCGGTTCTGAAATTCATAAACCAAAAAAATATATAACTTATTCAAGACGTAAGTAGCAGTAAGAATACGCAAGAAGTTGGTGTTTTTATTGAATAGTTATCGTGGCCGCAACTATTTGACGTATTTCGCACGGCGTTCGAAGTATGTGAACGACTTCATTCGGGACGGGCCAAAAAAGACTACAAATAGACTAGAAGAGAAATTAAAAAGTTGATGTCAGCATAGAAAATGACAGAGTTGTTTTGAATTGACCAACTTCTCTTGTAGTAGACAAGTTTACAAGCGAGTTTCAATATTAACTCTTATCCTGTGTTACAAGTGATGGTCGGTTAATTTGAATGTTGCGACGTAATTGTGAAAACTTGGTAGAGATCAACTGAAATTCCTGTTTTAGTCAGTGCAAAAATCACAGAAATGATTGGAACTGGTGGGTTGGCAGAAGAGACTTGTTAAATCACCTAGTAATTTCTTTCAAAGGTGAGAATCTCAAGACTTAAAAACTTTGAATGAACTTTAAATAGTTGAACTACAGAAAAATTACATCACTGATGCAAACTCACGTAGATGTTTCTATAGTGAGTTTCAGAAAGGCAGTTTCATCGACGTTCAAGCTCAAAGGAAACAACGTTCAGTCTTTTTCGGAACAATCTCTGACTGCAATGTAATATATGGCACCGATTTCTCCAATAATAATGGAAATTGGAGGTGTTATCTTAAGTGTTTCAAAACAAGGAAATGATCAGGATAACCAAAGGGGGAACGTTGGCAAATCTCCATATCATTGACAATTAAAATCAACTTATATAGTTTATGTTTTCGCTCAATTAAAATTAAAACTCAATTTAATTTTCTATACTGAGGGCAAAAATAAATTTGAACATGTCTGTATAATACATGCACATCTGTCGACAAGAGAGTCACGAATACGTGGTCATAAGGGTACTGTTATCGTATCTCGAAGGAAGTCTTGAGTATTTCATTACTTTATAATATGCAGGCCTCTTTAAGATTAATCCCCGCAGAATTTGCGATAAGTAGACATCATTTTAAGAACAAAGAAGAGGAAAAAAAGGTTTTTGCAAAGCTGACGAGATAACAAACCATGATCTCGGTATTGAGACGGTTGAAATTTTTTCTGGATTTTAAACCAGTTCAATTTGTTTTACGTTGCCTCAGATTTCGGTAACAGATTAAAGGCAAATGAAAAAATAAAAACTGCGTCCCTTATGAGATCCTTGCTGGTATCGACAGTAGGTGCTTTTTTTTACCAATCTGGTTGCGCATTTGCCAATGATCGGAGAAGTTGGCATTCAGACCCAAAGCCACTGTTTCGTACGTCTGCTTTTCTCGTCTACGCCAAAATTTCTTACCTAGCAGTTCAATGTTTCCTGCGATCTGGAACATAAATTGCCAAGCTTTGTAAAGACAGTTATTGTAATAACCTTTGTACTTGGTAACCTGTTTCAAACATTCTGAGATATCGAAATGTATCTGCTTTGCATTTTACATTTCACGGACGTGAGATTTTCTTGGATGCTAAAGATTAGTCCACGTTTCGATAACTATTCCATTAATCTCATCTGAGCTGCTGAAATCTTCCAGTTGATGACAAGGATTTTCGATGAAATTGTAATATATGTTCTTGAAGATTTCAGCTACGTTTAACGGTTATACAACATCGTTTCATCCCTAGAATACTAAACGAAAGCATGTGAGGTCACTTCAAATATGATGAAATGAACTTAATCCCGTAGCTTTTAAGTGAAAGGCCTCACACCGGCTAATGCTCTCAAAATATTCTAAGGATTAGAAAAATTTTCTTAATGGAGCTTCGAAAGTAATTCTGGGTTGTGCTGAATGGTTTTACTTCCCTTCGCTTTCTGATTGGTCCAGAAAACTCCACTAACTTGTAAACCAATCAGACTTCAAAGTAAAGCTAATCACAGCTTGGTCACCCGCGTTTTCCGCCCTTAATACATCGAGTTCTCATTGGCTCCTCTCTACATTTTCTTCAGCTCTGATTGGCTGTTGCGATAACTTTAGTTTTGCTTAAACGAGATTCAATCCGAATGCACTCTCTAATGACATGCGTCACGTGAAAACAATTTTATTGTTCCTTTAGACTGAAATGGTAATATACGAAGAACATTTTGTAAATTCTGAAAAGTTACATTATACAAATACCATTATGTATTATTTGGATATATACCTTTGTGTACGACTCTGGAAATAAAATGGTGAAAAGGCAATAATTTAAACAAGAATAATTTAAATTAAATACTAGGTTAAGTCTTTTCCTTTCCTTCAGCCATGAAGAAGAGTTTTATAGTATACACCAAAGTCAAATATAAATTCACCCTCATAAAGTTAAGTTCTACAAATGACGCACATGACCTTTAAAATACTTCCATTTCATATTCACTGCACAAATTAAAATTGGTTGATTGACAGTTTACTAATTAAATAATAATTTCAATGGGTACTCTTAGTGTTTAATCTTCATGCATGTAATCAAACTCCAACCTAAGTTTTTCCAACTAAGGTACATCTTCTCCAAAACCAACTTTTCTTTCACAGACTCAACTTACTGGAGGAAGATCATACTTTAAAACACGTGCACCGAAATACTCCCAGCCATTTTCAAGCCTTTCCGTATAGAAACAGCAAGATACCAGGTTTTTAGTTGGGTTTGTTAAATCATGTTGGTTTGGTTAATGGAAGCTTAACTAAAGGTCAACTTTGGTAAATCTGATTTTTTTTAATTTGATGGTCCCTAGCAAAACTGTCAGGCAACAACTTGACAACAGCCAATCTCCTATTGCACTGGATTTGCAATCATAAGGAAGAAAATTAACGCCTGAGTGCAGCTTATTAACATGGCATTCTTAAAAAACTGGTGTTATTGTTCTGTAGACTATGACCAAATTATGCTTGCATGCAGTGTACATGTACATGTGCATGTAGCATGCATAAATCAGGCCCAAAGATTTCTGCATGTATGCATGCACTTTAAATTGTAGGGATACATGTAGAATGCCGCTCAACGGATGCAGAGGATCACTGCATACATTTAAGGCCTCATGAAGAGGCACCCTGAATGCAAGAAAAAAACTGGCAAAAACAATAGCAATTGAAATTATTATCATAAGAAATATTTACAACTCATTGTAGAATTCAAAGCTAAAGTATCTACTTGTCATAAATTCAAAAATCATATTCCTTCCATAGAATACATCAGATAATAATATTTCAGTAACATTCTATTATATTCGTTAAATTACAAAAACAATTCACTATAAATCAATGCCTGCATAAGCTAGAACCACAAGGGTTAGGTAAAGTAAAACTAAAAATCCTACAAGAATCCACCAGTAACTATATTCACCTGAAAAAGAAATGAAGATCAAACTGTTATGTTTTTCTCAACATGGACTAAGGAAATGTGGTTGCTTAACTCAGCTTTTCCCTATAATATCCATGCTCCTTTTAAGGGATATAAATGCTGATCTGGTTGAAGTAATTAAATTAATACATTTTGTTGTTGTTGTTGTAGTTGGTTTTTATGCATACTGTAAGAACACGTTTTCTGGTGGCCTTCCCTGAATAGCCATTGTTTATTATACCTTTATTTCCTCTTTGGCCTAGAAAGTCACAAACCCTTGTAACAAGTAACAAAACTGCAACTACATGCAGTATCTTAGTTTCAGATACAGTGCAAAAAATATCTTAACAACCACCAATTGACCAAGCTGATGGGCTAGAGTTAGGGTCAGCATTTGAGGAAATAACAGGATGTTCTTTTTTTCATTCTATTTATCATCACCATTTTTTAAATCTTACGTTTTAACTTGGTGGTATGTTTCAGTCTTTATGACATTACGGCATCAGTTTGTCTAACTGCTATATTAAATTCTATTTTGAGGTTCAGTGAATTGGATTTAATCTGAGGCAATTAGATTGTAATAGTAAAAACAATTTATTTGTACCTCTTCTTTTAAGGGTAGTAACTTTACAAGCATTGTCAGCAGATATACTAAGCAATGCAAACTCGTTGCAGGGTGATCATTGATGAGTGGAGAACTGGGAAGGAATGTTAGTCCTGTGACGAAGATGTTGTGAACACCCTTAAGAGTAGTCAAGGGCTGCAGACAGAAAGAATATAATTGTTTCTAAGAAAATAATGACAAACACTTTCATCATGGAACCTCTACAATTGACTGAAGGAAATTTACATAAGCATATGATACATGAAATTCATCACTACACTATACAATGAAATAACCAAAACTAATGAGGTCTTAAAGTGCAGAGGCAGGACATTGTCCTTCCACATGTATATCAATGACTGATGGTTTTTAGACTTCCACATCAGATTCAACCTTCCTACCCTTTATCATCGTTGTCCCAAGAAACATCCTGTAAGGCAATCCTTCTGGCTAAAGATTAACCCAAAACATAATACCTAAATATTGTGGCTGGAAAGGAATCAAAATGAAGCTATTGTCGGAAAGAATTTTTCCATTTCTCAGTGCATAAGTCTTGTACTTCAAGTTAAACAAAACCTAATTCATTAATTAAAATTCACATGATACTTACAGCCAGATTCCATGCAATGTAAACTGAGATATCACCTTCTGCTGTTCCGACTCCAACAAATATCCCATTTCCACTGAGGAAAAAGTCAAACCAATATACGAATGAAATTAAAGGCCAATTATAGCTAAATTGCTCCCTCTAAGGATGGAAAAACACCACCATAAAATACACTGTAGCTGTCAAATGACATATACATGTACAACTTTTTAAATAAAATCAAATTTGCAGGTTACATACATGTATAGGGGTGGGAAGATTGGACCTTTGGCAACTGTACCTGATAGCCATTTGTGTGAGAGGTTCAATACCAGCAGCCTGACTCAGTTGTGGCAGCCATTTTGTGCAGTCCCACTTGACTAAGTATGAAGGTGTTGGAGCCTTTCTACTGAACTTGGATGGCACATTTATTGTAAACAGACTCACTTCCTTTCTTTCATTGCTAGAAAACCTGCCAAAAAAGGATAAAAGAATTTAGATATTTAAATCAATTGTCATTACCATGGGTGCTTTTATTTTCTAAATGAAAAACATTGTTTTTGTTCTCTCAATTCCAATTTTACTTCTTAAAAAAATGGACAATTTTCAAGAAACGATTTCAAAAAAGAAGATTAAACTTTTCATACCTGCATGCCCTGATTCTAAAGAAGTTATCTTCATTATTAACAGAAAAGTACAACTGGAATTGTTTTTTGCCTTCTTCTAACCTCCACACATAAGCTGTTGTGTCTCTTGAGCATGTTACAAACTGTGAATATAGACAATAAAATTAAAAAAAAACTTAAACAAATATCTTAATAGAGCTTACAATTACATGCAAATTACCAGGCAAGAATACTAATTTTCATCTTCAGGTGATGTTGTGCATGTACATAAAGAATCATATTAGTGACAGATAAATCCGTACCATTAAGACAAAAAAATATATAATATAGGTCGACATAAGGCCATGAAAAGTTTTTATTCTATTTTCCAGAGGGTAATTGTCCAACCAAGAGATACCAATTTTGCCATTTGCATGTGGTTTGAGGTCCTGGTGAAACACTGGAATGAGGCATTATCCACGAGTTTTATTCTTCTTCAAACTCTTGACTTTAATAAAGCATCAAACTCTAGTGAACTAATTTCTTGATTTGAATATCAATGACACATGTTTGAATTCTTCATAACAAGATGTGAAAAATTCCTGAACATTTCCATTTTCTTTATTCCTGAGGTGCTCTTGAGGAGCTCTTTCAAAAAACTTGTGCCACACGTTTCATCAGGATTCGCAAACACTTGAAAAACAATAAAAGCACTTTGCCCCCAGCATAGTGCTTTCATCTGTTTCCTGGTAAAAACTCCAATGAAACACTCACACTCACTTTCTTAAAGTAATATAGGATCATGTCGAAGGTGACCTTTTATATTTTAAGACTGTCTTTGATTAGTATTTTATTTTTAAAGTTTGACTAACTGAATTTTCCTTGCAGGCTAAATGAACAATGTGTTGGGGATTATTGAGTTTATCATAGTGCATGTTCATACCTGACGTGAATTAGGATGTACATCTAAATCATCAACATCTGTTGTGTGAGCTTTTATATCATGGATACTTTCCAAGGAGGGATACTAAAGCAAAATGAGCAAAGAGATAAAATAAAACAAAAAAAAAATGCAAAAAACATTACACTGAAAAAACAGTCATTTTTACAGTGTAGTGGCCTATATCAGTTTACATATAGATACTGCAGATACAAATGTCAGGGTGTAAACTAATTTCTCCTTACAATATCACCCCTGAATCACACATGAAGGTCACAAGAATAAAGGAAATGATCACCAAGTACAGACACTCTTCCTTGTTAACCAAATTCTCCTTGTCAGCACCTTAGGACATGTATAGAGAACAGTATAGAGAATATGCCTCCTGATGTTTACGTGTAAAGGATTGAATTTGTCAAATCTGAAGAACCAAACAAAACTGACACCAAACAAAGAAAACTCCTCAACCACAAATTAAAATTAAAATTACAACAATTCGGGAGAATCATAAGCTCAAAATAACATTTAGAAATTCCCTTTTACCTTCAGAACCCTAACATGCCCATCAGATCCTCCAGTAATAATGTGCTGTCCGTCTGCTGTGAATCGCACAACTTTCTGAAAACCTACATCATCATCATCTTTTGAATCATTGTCCTCTGCTGAAACTGTCACTTTAGATTCTAATTCTTTGACAATAAATTCTTGTGTCTTTTCTTTGACAATAACTTTTTTTTTTCCTTTCACTTTTTCAGTGTTCTTTACTTCCTCCTTAATATCAATCTCAAGTAACTGACATTTATTGTCCATTCCAACAGCAATGACATTTGATGTTGGATGAATTGCACAATTCATAATTGGCCTCCTCCCAGCTTCAAAGTTATGGACTAGTGTTGCTTTGAGTTCTTTACTGTTTCGGCCAAGCTTGTAAATATTCTAAAAAAAAAGAGAGAGATTACTGCGCTGTCAGGATAAAAATTCTGCTGTTGCCTAATCTGATCTCATTGAGCATAAGTTGAATGTTATAATAATACAAAGCACACAGTACTGTTTGGTACAAAATCAAGAATTCCTTAGTACAAGTACAATATACCAAGCTTGTAAATGGACAGTTGAAGTTAGTTTGCCTCGTTAATTGCAAACTCGATTATAACTTAAACATATATTATTTTGGAACTTTTGATACATACATTTTCCCTACAAAAAAGATACGATTTTCCCTCAATAGTTTACATCTACTATCATCCCACGTTGCCCTTGCTCACCGCAAAAATAAGACTCGACACCTGTAAAAGCTTGTAGTTAAAACTTTGATTTGAAGAGTACCACGATCACACGAACTGTACGTTCTTTTGAACAATGAGTCGAGGAGTAGAATCAACTTATCGAATGAAATGTAGACGAATCCATGAAAAAAAAGATTAAACACAGAAAAAAAATAATAAACAGACACAGCAATACGACATGAACTATAAAATATTTGTAAAAATCAGTGTAAACAAGTAAAGAGCGAAAATACAAACCAAAGCATTTGGGACCCCGGTCTTCGCCGCCCCTCCACCACCGGCGATCAAAAAATGATCCTTGTCTAGGACGTTCACGGCATACAGAGGAAAATTCGTTGTCTCTAAAGTTGTGAAAGACATCTTCCTAAGAATTTACTAACGCTGATTATTCTACAAGTCAAAAGTTAAAAGATTCTGTCGCAAAGGTCTTCATTTGGTCAAAGTATTCGACGTGGCTCGCGCGGTTACATTGCTTATGGTTATAACCGCTGATTGGTGTTTCCTTTGTTCGCGGGAACGTTTCAGACAAAGGGTACATGAAAGTGCGCATGCCCCTGACTTTTATTGTTGCGAGAGAGCATCCGCGCGAGTTTTCTGGAAGAATTAAGGATTAAAGAAAAGCAAAATCAACGTAAATAATAGTCCTTGTCTGTTTTTTAGTTTGTTCTGTCTTTTGTTCCATATCCGCATTGGCCATTCTACATTTGCATAAATTATGGGAAGAGTCTAAACACTATTGTATTTTGGACATTTGCCTCTGGAAAACATAACGCTAACTGCGTGACTCAGACATATGTGAGATGATTCTGTCCTCCACTTGATGCAGTAAAGATTTAAGTAACACACGACCTAACTTCGCACCGACATAGCAAAGGTATTTATCTTCAAGTTATTTACACAACAGTAACCAAGAATTAGAAGCCATGACTAGTAACACAGTCCTTATCGGAGCTGCAGTGTGCTCCTCGCTTGCCGTCGGCTACCTTCTTGGTAAACTCCACGGCTCGTGCCGATATGCAGACGACTATATTGAAAGGCCTGGTAGAGAGTATAAGAAGACTGCTGGATTGAAAACGTTTCTCGAATATGTCGCCAAATACTCCTCTGCAGAGCATCATACAGTCACTGAACTGAGGAGGGTGAGTATTGAACTTTCTAAAGAGAATATAAACTGCCTTTCTCAAGAGAAAATAACGTTAAAGTGCTTATGACACGAAATTTTTTGCGTATTTTCTGGTTGATAGCGATATTTTAAATTAGAAATAATCGACCTTGGCGCCTGGCGAGTTCTTCTTGCTTAGGGTTAGGGTTTAGGGTTAGGGTTAGGGTTAGGGTTAGGGTTTAGGTTTTTTTTTGTTTTTTTGTTTTTTTTTTGGTGCATTGAAAGTACGATTTGGCGGCCAGAAAGTAACCCCATTAAGCGCGCAGCCAAAACGATCATATTACATAGCTGTAACGTTGAAAACTGTTAAGACACGTCGGCAACTATAGTGGAGAGAGGAGAAATCCAGAGGAAAAGACGAACCTATTTCCTGGCTGGAGTGCCAAATGGTGTTAGCTACAACTACCGAGTATTTCTTTACGCTACTTTCCAAAGGATGTAGTTGCGTGGTTAAAATGGACGCGTTTCGATCGTTGTCATCAAGGAGATTTTACTCTTCAATATCATTGGCCTTATGCTCTGTACCGGCTTCGAAGATTGGTTATCTTCAGGGGAAGATAACCAATGAATTCAGCTAAGAAGAATATCGATTAAGGGGCGTGTTCCCATTCCGAACACGATTGTTCGACATTCTTTTCGGCTGGCATTTCGCAAGCGAAGAAAGGTGATCTCCTTATTGTTATTTATTCCACGCGCTAGAGATGTACTTATATTCCTTGTCTTTCCGCATGACTACATTTGCGCTTTTCTTATCGTATGAAAATCAAACCAACTGTAGTTTCCATCGTATTTTAATGATAGAACTACATCATTTGTAATAAAGTTCAAACCCTTTCTTGAGCTGATCGATATCCTGTAGCGTGAACAGTGCGTAACCTCTGGCGGATATTGGCATAAACCCAAGCTCGAAACGGCCGTATATTCTCCTAACCTAGATTCCCGAAAATCCATCCCACGAGCTATCAATTCTCCCCGCTCTTAAGAAGCTAAAAGTAGCAACAGTAGCAATGTCATTGTGATAACAGCACTGCAACGAGATAAATAAAGAAACACAAGTTTTATTGAATTAGATGGTGGCGAATCCAAGTGCTGTGTGAAAATCGATTCATACGAAATATTCATTCACCCATTGGGCGAAATGGGTCATATGGCGATGAGGTTAACTTGAATCAGATTACGCTAAAGAAATTTGTCTTCTCTCTTGAGTATGATGTATCACAACTCTCGGTAGAGCTTGCTGAAGGCAGGTTTACATCGTTATCGGTCATAATTTCAAGAGTATTTCAACGCTGATTGATACAAAATTACAAGACATGTGAGAGATTTGCGAGTGTTAATTGAGAGTTTTCAGAGTTTTCACAGTTTTCTACGTCATCACCCGCTAATTTGTTTCCAGTCCACGCGACACTTTTAAGACAAAATAAGAGCACTTTAGGACCCGAAAAAACCGTCTTTTGGGCTTTTTGAAATTTTTCTTCTATCGGAGTTGGTTTGCACGTATGATAAGCTAAATATTTACGCAAAAAAAAATTTCGTGTCATGGGCACTTTAAAGGAGGGGCGCATTGGGGTCTATTAGACACCTCAAAACCGTAGGAAAAAGTGAATCAGGAAGGTGTCATAATCTCGTACCTGGATGAATACCCTAGGAATTTTTGCGGCAACCGCTCATGTTGAGGCTCGATTTTCATGTTATTTCCATATTTTGTAGACATCGCGCACTTAACAAAATTCATTGAAGTTCTTTTTCTCGGAGACATCAGAAAATGTAGGAAAATAAATTGCGCTATGGGGCTCTGCAGTAACACAGTGAGGGCTTGAATAAATTAGCGAGCTTTGGCAGAATCGCACTCGTCACAACTCCTTAAACTAAGAGTGACCAGCATCTAATTTCTCCTCACAATATAACATCTGAATCAAACATTAGGGTCACGACATATATATAGGCGACAGAGGCTATGGGAAGGCTATGTTTGTGACCCAAAGATCAACAAGGATGGCAAAACATCAGAGGTTGAACCACTCGACTATCAGAGAGATTCAATTGAGTTATACAAGTACCACCTTCCGTCAATATACAAAAGGATTGCTGTCCACATGCACGCGTTGAACAAGAAAATAGTTAAGGATCCACGGGCACTGGTTAACATCTTACCAGTTGGATCGGGCCTTACCATAGTCACAAAATTGTGACGTGTTATGAATTCTTGACCCATTCATTGTTTTCAGTTTATACGTAAATGATGATAAATCATGTTTGCTTTCAATAAAGTTATCAAATGCTTAGTAGGCCTGAAAAGATCAGCTTTATGAGGCTATGGCGTGTCCTTCCGGCACTCAATTACTAGTTGAAATCACTAAAATTATTTTTCTGAGAAAGAGGGCACGATTAGTGACGATAGGACTTACTGCGGTTGACTTTTGTTGACAGTTCTCATAAATTGGTCAGTCGGTTGTCAAAGCACCGAAATTTTTTCTACTCAATTGCTGTATTTTCTCCTTAATCCCTAATAATGACAAGGTTATAATTTCTCCTATCAAAATCACCCCTGAATAAACGGTTTCAGTCATGAGAATAAAGGAAATGATCAGCAACTGATGCAGCTCTCAATGGTTTTGGAAATTCTCCCTGTTAGAACCCTAGGGGATGTATAGAGAACAGTATGGAGAATATACATAATGATGTTAGGGTGTAAAGCAATGGTTAAGCGGTCACCTCTATAAAGCAGTCGTGGTTACCCTTGACTGAGTCCCAACGGCCTGTTAATTCTATAATTGTTCTTCACCTGTATTGAACGGTCACTTCAAGCGGTACCACTGGAATTAAATCAAGAATAATCTTTCCAGAAAAATTTAATCCATGTTTGGCTACCGAAATCAATGTTAATAGCCAAAAGCTGTGTTCATTTGATTGGTCAGTGAAACATGTTTTTATTAGCTGTCAGAAATTTGCCATGAAGTGTTTCAAAAATGCAAGAGATATTCTACTTAAGTTAACTGACAGCTGTTTAATTTGCAAATCATATCGCTTTTCACCCAACACTGGTGACTTCACTGACATTTGTTCTGTTTGTACTCAGCAGAGAGGTAAATCGTTTCAGTTTTGCACGTAAGCTGCGAAAGCAGTTTAATTAGCTAATAAACTTTTGTTCTTTCCATATTCTTTGTCACTATAGCACTGCCCTTTTTCTCAAAAGACAGCATGATGATGTACAAACTTAGACCTAAGGCAGTAAAATCACCCTTTGGCAGGACATATACGTCAAGAAAGGGTAACAAATTGACTCTTGTTACGAGAAAGATATCCTAATTTTGAACCACTGGAAAAATGTTGCAGAAGTTTAATTCATAAAAATATTGACTACAAATGTCAATAGTGGAGGAACATCTTCATTTTACCTTTTGTGTCAAGGAAATAACTGGAAGTTGCCATCTCACTGAACGGACATTTTATTTCCAAGAATCTACTTTCTTAGCATTGGCAACCCAAAAAGCTACTGTGTGTAATACTTGTTTTTCGATCAACGCTGCACAAACTTGCTATCGCTGCCCACTCATTTTTTTTTGACTGATAGTAAGTTCTAAACTATAAGTAAGTTTAATTCTAAAAAGGTTTTGATGATAGGTTGTTATCTTAGACATAAATGCATACTTAGTTTTGGATTATAATATCATGCATGAATAGATGGATATACATGTTTTTAGAGGAATTGAAGAGATGTTATACATTTTTTTCTGTTAAAGCTACGTAGGAAGTTTTTTAATGCATTTCAGTCAATTTATAGTAGATGTGTTGGTAACAATGTGAAATTAGCCTCATTGATTGGCTCAGCCATAATTGTCATAGTGTATTTGGATGAAAGTTAAAGCGAACTTTAATTTCAAAGTGCTGTGTCAATCTATCATGCCAACTGCGTGTAAAAACGAAAACGCATACTCACTATTCGATACCTAATGTAAGCGGCATCATCCCCTCCCCCCTTTCTTTTATTGATACGGCTTTTAACACCTTTGCTTCCTTTAACGATTCTAGCCAACGAGATAATTCCTATCATCAAATCCAGATTCAGTCTCCCGGCAAAGTAACGGCGGAAATTGGTCTGGTATTGAATCGGAGGTTGGTTCATCGCTTTCTTTGGTCTGGTGGGAATTACCTGAATTATTTTCATCATCGCAAGAAGAAGAAGATTTCAAAAAACAACAAACTGGTTCATCGTTTTCTTGGCGGTAGCTGATCTGGGTGTTACTTTCGGATATTTCCCGGCCTCCATGATATGCAAAGTGCTTTTATAGATAGTCGCACAATTTAAATTCAAGTGGAAACTGAGGAAGCTTTCAGTCCATTAAGTCCGTGTACAACAATTGTGTCGACAAAGACATAAGATTAATCTCACTGATTGGCTTAGCGTTGTTAAATTGCATATGAGCTAGTAATTATAGCGAACTTTAAAACCAAGATAAATTTATAATAGCATGTTTATTCATTATGGGACTAGGAAGGTCGCTGCTGCATCATGTAGTTTTATTTCCATGTTCGTAAGGAGCTATTATTTTTGAATAATAGATATCGGAGAGCAATTGGCTGGTGAAGGAAGGACTTCTTCTGTTTGGAAATTTTAATTTGACGCCATTAAGCTTTTTAAAGCTTGAAAGCTCTCTTGACAGCCTCATACGGGGTTGTATTAAAAGAGATCGCCTCCGGGTTGCAATCTGAAACCCGTTGATTTAACATCTATGCTTCCATCAAGAGCCATAGTCGACAGCAAATCTACATTATCAGATCCAGATTCAGTCTCACAGCCAGTAAAGGATGGATTTCGACTGGATTGTCGGCTGGTTTTTCACTTTCTTTAGTCTGATGGGAAACACCTGGGTTATTTTCCTCATCGCAAAAAGAAGAAGATTACAAACAACGGCTAACTGGTTCATTCTCTCCTTAGCGGTGGCTGATCTGGGTGTTACCTGTGGATATTTCCCGGCGTCCATGATCTGCAATGTGCTTGTGGATACATGCAACGACGGTGTTCGCCTGAGGTTCGCTGATTTCTTCATTGATGCTTCACACATTTGCTTGACCACTTTGGTTGCAGAACGCTATATTGCCATCGTCCATCCCTTAAAATACGTCCGTCTCCTGACGTCAACTAGAACAATTTTCATTATTGCGACCTGTTGGGCAATTCCGTTTTTTTCTCTCGTTTTTCGATTCATCATTTATCTTTTCGGCAGCCAGGATTTTGCTGCAGAAACGGCTAAATTTGGTGTCATCTTCACCGTGCTCTTTGAAGTGTTACCAACAATTCTTCTTTTCTCGGCACATGTTCATATCCTATTAATAGCCCTCAAACTTTCTCGCGAGATGAAAACTCTTTTGAAACAGGTTAAATTTAACGTAGCGACAAATTCAGTGAATATAATGAAAGTTAGAAATGTGGGATTAAAATCACCCACGGTGAGGTTGGTAACAGTACTTGTTATAATATTTGTTGCTTATTATGGATTAGAAATCCATGCGTCAATCTGCTTTGGCTTTAATTTTTGCGATGTGTCCAAGCATGAATTAGTAGCAGCAAATTTGCTGCTTTTGGCCAATAGTACGTTAAATCCTCTTGTTTATGCGTTCCTCAAAGAAGGTATCAAGAGAGAATCAAAAGCTTTCTTTTGCCGCAGAAGGAGACTTCAATTACATCCGTTCTAAGTTCATCGGGGGTAGTAAGCTGGGAGAAGAATTCCTCCCAGGAATTAAAAGGGAATCAAAAGCTTCCCTTTACGGACTCTACCGCAAAACTTACTCAAAACTAACGTCTCCCAGGTCACAAGACGTTTGAAGACCAGCAATGATAGTAAGAAAAACATGGAATTATACTCAACCACCGATCTTTGACAAATACGTGCAGCACAAGTAAGAGTAGATTGTCAGTGGTTGAGGTAGCTTCTTTAGCAATTAATGGCTTAAAACAATATTTCCACGCTGCGTTTCAATAAATTTTCGCCTTAAAACTACTCCTACACTGCACACCTCAAAAAATGTTAGGCATTACCTAATTCCCTCTGTCAACCTCGGCGGACAATTTCTAAGTCTTAAGCACACAGTGCCTGATTCGTTACACATGAAGTCAATTTTATTTTGAAAGCACTACTTCAAAGTTAACGTAAGAAAGAGATTCATATTTTTAATGTAGGTGATGAAGACCCACAGAGGGCGCGTTCATCAAGATGAGTGTCGCTTAGTTGTGCGTTTCTATGCTATTCTACTATTCTTTATCTTTTTGCTAAATAAAAGTTATTATCAAAAATCTTTGTGGTTTGGTCCCTGTACGATGTCAAAGAAATATTTATGCCAACAGCTGCATACAGTTTGATGGTTCAGTAAAAAATGTTTTCCTCAACTGTCATTAGCTGTCATTTGTCGACAGCAAATAAAAAGCTTAATTTTTTGCTGGTGCATATTCATGTTAGCCTTTGAGAGCAAATGTTTTTATAATTTCTGCGTTCAAAATTACTCGCAGAAAGTTCACCAAGTGCTCAGCGTGATCAGTGAATTAAGAATGCACGTTATTTAGTCTGGGATCTTAGGCTACTGAATCCGTTTACGGCAGCGTGGAGCTCTGCTAGTACAAATCGCTTTCACAAATTATTTTTTTTCTTTTCTTGACAGAATGATACTTTTTCTCTCTTCTTTAAGCCTGTTTTTTCTTCTTTTTTTTCCTTCTTCCGCTTTTGATTTTTCCAGGAGCGACGATTTTTCCACAAGCAAAGAGCTTCCACATTTATAAGATGTTCTTCGCATTGTTATCAATAATATTTCTTTTCGTAGCGCATCTTCATATTCTATTAATTGCTTGCAAACTCTCTCGCGAGATGAAATCACTTTTCAAACAGGTCAGATTTAACGTAGGAGCAAATTCAGTGAGAATAATGGAAGTTACAAACGTTGGATTAAAAACGTCCACAGTGGGGTTGGTAACTAAACTTGTTATCATATTCATTTCATGTTACGGATTAGGAATCCACAACATAATCTGCATCTACTTTAATCTTTGTATTCCGTCTAAACATGAAATACTGGCATTTCGTTTGTTAAATTTGGCCAATTCTACGCTAAATCCTCTTGTGTACGCATTCCTTAAAGATGATATCAAGAGAGATTCAAAAGCTTTGCTCTGCCGCAGGAGGAAACTAAAACTACGTCCCTTCCAAGTTCATCCACAGTAACCACCAGCGTGAAGAATTCCAGCTAACAATGAAGACCACAAAATGGGTAATGCACGAAACACGGCTAATGAAGTTTGTCAAAGTGGTTTAATTCTAACCCCAATTGTAGCACCTGCACTTTAGTTCAGAGAAAATAAGAGCTGGCCAGGGAGGTGAGATTTCTATATGACTTACAACGGCATTCAAGTTTTTTTTGCCGTTTCGCATCACCGTAATCTGATCCATTATCCCACTGCACGTGCAGATTCTGCAGTGCCAGGAAAGGTAGATCGTTACTCAAGTTACTGATTTTCCTCAACAAAATTTGGCGGACAATTCTGTTTGTCTTAAGCACGCTCTCTGCCTACTTCATGACACATGAAGTCAATTTTATTTTGGAAAAGCTCTAGAGTTTCAAAGCTATTGCAGTAACGAGATTGAGGTTTCCACTGAACCTAGCCAGCAGGTTAGGCCGCATTCATCAAGCTAATTGTGTAGTTGCTCGCCGCGTTTCTGACTGTACGTAACTGTTTAACTTTTTCCTGAATAAAAATAAAAATCACTATTAAACATTTTTGGGTTTTGGTTTCTGCACGATGTGAAAGCAACTCCTCTCTGCCAACAGCTAAACACATTTGATGTGTCAGTGAAACATTTTTCGTAAGCTGACATAAATTGACCATTCAGCGTTTGGGACTCTTAAGTGAAGGGAACACTTCTCGATAGAAAATGAAAGCTCATTTTTCCCACTTCTGATATCAGCTCGCGAGAGCAAATGCCTTTTAAGCTTTTGGGCCTAAAATAACAAGCTAAAAGTTGACTAAGTGCTCAAAGTGATGGATGAATTAAGAGTGGGCATTCCTTAGTCTCAGATCTTACGCTACTGCATCCGTTTATGTTTAACACCAAATATAACAATACAAGAAGCTGTCTTCCTCTGCAATCTTGTAATCAAAAAAACTTTTTCTAGCCATATATGTCTATTAAATGTAGAGAATGTTTTAATTAGGCAAAGAGAAGGTTGTCTAATTTCACTTACTCTCTAGCTACGTAACTGACATTTCTACTGTTGTCACTCAGCAGAGTGGTAAATCATTTAGTTTTCAACACAGGTTACGAATTAAGTTTAATCAACTACACTTTGCTTCGCCCCATATTTCTTGTCACCAAAGCAATTTTTTTATTTTCACAGTACAGCACGATATTATGCAAACCTTTACCTAAGGCAATCGTCCTCAGGCAATCCATTAACTGAAGAAAGTAGCAGGTGGATTCTTGTTCCAATGTATCGATCTAATTTTGAACAACAAAGTGTTGGTAAAATGACTCCAAACAAATACTTTATGAGAAATTTAATGCATGAAATGCAAGGCTACTCTAATAACTAATTCCACGCTATGTTCTGTCTGAAATTTGCGTTTCTGCGCGCTTACTGAAGACGTAAAAGGGGATTCAAAAGCCTCCCTTTACCGACTATGCCGTAAAACCCATTCAAAGCTAACGTTTCCCTGGTCACAAGACGTTTGAAGACCAGCAATGATGGTTAGGAAAAAAAGGAATAATACTTAACCAATGATCTGAGGCCTTGAAATGTAAAGTTATATATTAATAGTTTAATTTATACAGTTTTTTGAGTGGAATTAAAGTAGTAATGCACAATTCTTTTAGGTGAGGTAGGAAGTCTTCCATTTCAGTCCATTCATTGCAGGTGTGTCGATTATGATAATAAAATAAGTCTTACTGATTGGCTAGGGGTTGGAAAATTGCAAATGGATCAAAAATTATAGCGAATTTTAATTGCACAGTAAACGATATTTGAAATTTGTTTATTCTTGATGGAGGCAAGACACACTACGTGGAACTACCACGTCAAGTGCACATGAAAGAGGAAATATATCCACCATGCAACACCCAGTGAGGACAGAGTTATTTCCCACTATTTCTTACATGGCTTTTCATAACTATGTTTTTACTACGTCCTACTTTTTTGAAGAAAACGCTTTTTACATTTAGGCTTATTCAAGATCAGCCTTCGAGCAGGCTTTCAAGTTACGTCACGACCAGCTCGTGTCTCGTAGTTTTGCAGCCACTTCTGCCGCAGCCCTCGTAGTGAAGCGCCTATCGAGGAGTGTTCGCAAGCTTGAGAGTAATGAAGCAAAAACCTTAGCCGGTGCAGTGATCCATCTCACAATTGTAACTCATTCATTGGGTATAGCAAAGGTTATTCTGCATTGTCGTGAATTAAGTATATGTAATTACCCCATAGGTGGTAGGTTGCAGGTGTGTCGATTATGATAATAAAATAAGTCTTACTGATTGGTTAGGGGTTGGAAAATTGCAAATGGATAAAAAATTATAGCGAATTTTAATTGCACAATTGATGGAGGCAAGACACACTACGCAGATCTACCACGTCAAGTACACATAAAAAAAGAAAACATATCCACCATGCAACACCCAGTGAGGACAGAGTTATTTCCCCCCTATTTCTTATATGGCTCTTCATAACCATGTTTTCACTACGTCTTAGATTTTATCCATGAGTAGCAAAAGAGCAGGCTTTGAAGCTACGTCACGACCAGCTCGCGTCTCGTGGCTTCGCCGCTTCTGCCGCAGCCCTCCTAATGAAGCGCCTAACGAGGAATGTTCGCAGGCTTGAGAGCAATGATGCAAAGATCCCAGCCGGTGCAATGATCCATCTCACAAGTGTAACTCATTCATTTGGAATAACAAAGGTTATTCTGCATTGTCGTGAATTAAGTATATGTAATTACCCTATAGGTGGTTGACTCAAGTCTCACGAGCGAACAATATCATATATTTTCCAAAAAGGTTGAGCGGCTGTCACCCTTCTGGTTTGCGCTTTGTTGCAACTTCTAAGCCTAAATTAGCTTAATAGAAGATGTGTGGCGTTACATCAATGATGCTGCCATTGCGCGAAGAAAGTGTATCTAGCGAGGCTGAGAAAAAATATGTGAGAAGGTATCACTGACATAAGTCACTATGTTTGGTGATGATCAATAGGTTATTGGCTGTCGAAATCAAACGTTACTCTTGATCGCTCTGCTGATAAATATATTTGAATATGAGGCAATGGTATGGAACGGGTATGCTCTATTAGTTTGCAAGCTCGTAATTGTCCATGCTGACAAAAAGGTCCATAAATGCCAAAATTGTGCAAAAATAAAATAAAACTTAGTAAAAATGGGTGACGTTACCTATCATCGTTAGTAGGAACGTTATCAGGAGTTATTAGCTAATGAAGAAAGACTTCTTTTGATTGAAATTTGTTGTCCGATTACCATTAACTGATATCTTTAAGCTCTTTAGGCAGCGGCAGCTGGAGTTGTATCAAAGAGGTCTCCTCGCATCTGAAAACTCGTTCTACTGACTGATATCTGCTTTCTCCAACGTTCCAAGTCGACAACAAATTTACGTTATCAGAGAAGATTCAGTGAGACAACCAGTAAAGAATGGATTTTATCCTGGTAGTTATTCTGTTTTTCATCTTCTTAAGTTTGGTGGGAAACAGCTGGGTTATTTTCATCATCGCAAGAAGGAGAAGATTACAGACAACATCCAACTGGTTCATTCTTTCCTTGGCGGCGGCTGATCTGGGTGTTACTTGTGTATTTGCGCCCTACATGATCTGCGACGTGATTTTGGATACGTGCAGGGAAAGAGTTGTTGGGGTTTTCGCCTTTTTCTTCGTGAACGTCTCCGCCATCGGGTTAATCGCCATGGTTGCAGAACGCTATGTTGCAATCGTGCATTCGCTGAAATACGTCCGCGTCTTCACGACCACCAGAAGAACATTTATTATTATTGGTACCTGTTGGGGATTTCCATTTCTATTCACCGTTTTGAGACGCGCCATGTATCTTGCCGATGGCAGACATTCGGTTGTTAAAACCCGTATAGTCGAAGTTATTTACATTTTTCTTTTTGTAGTGGTACCGACAGTGCTTCTCTTGACAGCACATTTTCATATCCTACTAATTGCTCGCAAACTTTCTCTGCAAATGAGAACTCTCATGAAACAAGTTAGATTTAACATGACCGCAAACTCTTTGAAAACAAAGGAAATTAGAAACGTGGGACTAAAAGCATCCACAGTGAGGTTGATTACTGTACTTGTTGCTATTTTTACCACTTGTTATGGAATAGGTTTTTACGTCCTGCTCTGCGACACCTTCAAAATTTGTTCTGTGTCTGAACTTATACGAGTGATGAATAAGTTGCTTCTATTGGCCAATTCTACGTTGAATCCTCTTATGTACGCGTTCCTCAAAGAAGATATCAAGAGAGAAACAAAAGCTTTTCTTCGCCGCAAGAGGCACGTAAAAATACGTCCCTTCCAGGTTCATCCAGAGTGACAAGTCAGAAGAAGACTTCCATTCAGCAATTCTGACACAACAAAGTATGAAATGATGCAAAATGGTCCGTGAACATTGTAAATACATTTGAATTTAGTACGAGTTGTAGTGCTGTCGATTCGATGTGAATGCTTTTGTAGTATTTTAACAAGTCGGTAGTTAGTTTCACCACTCAATCTGTCACCTCAAAATTATCTTTTGCTGCCAAAGACAGGCTAAGCCCTGCTTAGTTCAGTGATGTTTGGGCCATAACTGTCTTGTTTTCCCATCGTTTAGATTAGTCCTAATTCTGTGTGCACGAGTTCATGGATCTTCTATTGCCACCACTGTCGGCAAAAAAACCTAAAGAAGGCTGAAATTGTGTTAATGTAAGCTGAACACGTGTAGATGAATAAATCTTCAGGATTGATGCTTACGAAACTGATGCACACAGCTAAAAAAACAATTTTTCTCTACTACCAATTTCTAGCTATCATCTTTTAGGGAACAGATATGGAAATGCAGGAACTGTTCAACTTCGAGGGTAGACTGACAAAATGAAGAGAAACGAACGAACGAAGAAAGAAAAAAAAATACTATTTCAGTCCTCAGGAGCTACGCAATATTTATCATAAGGGCGCCTTGACCAAGTCATTAGCTTCATAAGGGAACAAAACAGTATGACAAATATACATGCTTTCCCTTTGTGGAGAGCCGCTATTATTAACTTTTCGCAGGAGCGAAGTGAATGTTTCCAATATGCTTAGGGACAGAGACACTTCAAGGGTGCATTTTTTAAGCTACGTGTCGCATGATTGTGCGTTCTTTTACCAAGCATTTGTTTTACTCTCTATTGAAAAAAAATTGTCAAAAATCTCTGAAATTTGGTTCTCGTACAATATAAAAACCAATCTTTTTGCCAACAGCTGCGTACATTTGAAGGGTCAAAAAAACATGTTTCCATAAGCTGTCGTGAATTTTCCATCGAATGTTTGGAACACCTTTAGAAAGCAAATATAAACCTCTTTTTTCGCCGTTGCATATTTATATAAGCTTGCAAGAGCAGATGCCTTTTCAGCTTTTGACTTCAAAATAACACGATCAACATGATCAGAAAATTAAGAGTGCTTATTCCTTGGTCCGGGATCGTAAGCTGCTGTAACCGTCTTTGTCTTCGTCTGGCACCCTCTATAGCAATCCAAGAGGCAGTCCTCTCATGCATTTTTATGAACGAACAGCCTGTTTCAAGCCTTATATGCCCGGAAATGTAAGAGATGTTTCAATTAAGTAAAGTGAAACTTGTCTCATAACTTGCACAATAAACAAAATATCACTTCGAGGCCAACACTCTGGCGACTCGAGTGACATTTATACTGCTACCACTTAGGGGAATGTTGGGTGAAAGCAAAAGCTTTCCTTCACCGACTATACGGCAAAACCCATTCAAAACTAACGTCTTCCGGGTCATAAGACGTTTGAAGACCAGTAATAATGGTTAGGAAAAAAAGAAATAATACTCACCCAACGATCCCAGGCCCTGAAATTAAGCTTTAGTGCAGCGTAAATAAGGAAGTGTCATTTCAAGGTTATCGCACGAAAACGATTAATTGTTTCCAAGGTAGCCAAAAGATAAACACCCATGGAGAGCGCATTCATCGAGCCTAGAGTCGCTTAGCTGTGTCTCTCCATTCTAATTGTTTATAGAGTTCTTCACTGAATAAAAATCATCTTAAAAGATTACTAGGGTTTGTTTTCTGTCAGTTTTGAAAGCTACCTTTCTGTCAATAGCTGCCTACATTTGATGGGTAGATAAAACATGCTTTTACTGTCTGTCATAAATTTCCCAAAAGTGTTTGGAATTTTCAATTGAAGGAACGCTTCTCGACAACTGATAAAAAGCTCAACTTTTCGCCGGTGCATATTCATGTAAGCTTGCGGGAACAGTTTCTACGTTTCAAAATTACGCGTGGAAAGTTTAGAAACTGCTCAAAGTGATTGGTAAATTAAAAATGGCAATATGCTAGTTTAGGGGTGTAGGCTGCTTCATCCGTCTATGTTCAGCACCACCTATATCAATTCAAGAAACTATCCTCTGTGAGCGAACGAGCTATTGCCATCTTAAATGCTCCAAAATGCAAGAGATATCCAATAAAAGCTTTCATTATAGACTGCGAATGAAAGTTGATCTAGTAATCCACATGTCGTCTCTGCATATACCTTGTCACCACAGGAGTGTCTGCTTTTCAACGAACAGAATTATTATACAAACTTTCAACCATAAGGCAGGATATCACCTTAAGGCAATGCATCAAAAAAACATAACCTGTGGATTGGTGTTCTGAAAACAATAATTTGAGAGAAAGCTAATTCAAATGTCACTGGTAGAGAAACATGTCTATTTTATCGAGGGTTTCACGGAGAAAATAAGGAAAAGTCCATGAAATGTCAGGAGGTTTCCACATAAGTAAATGGCCAGCTTATTTTCGATAGGAAATTTTCTGATTTTTATTAACACCCCTCTTTTCGTTTTAACTTTTAATGAACTTTTAAGTAAGTACGTCTTGAATTATTATCTTAGACATGCTTGAATATTTAGTTTTGCAATGTAAAATCATACGTTAATAGTTTAATTTACACAGTTTTTTAAAGGAATTAAAGTGGTGATGCACAATTCTTTTAGTTGAGGTATGAAGTCTTTCCTCCATTTTAGTCCATTCATTGCGGGTGTGTCGATAATGATAATAAAATAAGTCCTACTGATTGGCTAAGGGTTGGAAAATTGCAAATGGATTAAATATTATTGCGAACTTTAACTGTACAGTAAAGGATATTTGAAATATGTTTATTCTTGATGGAGGCAAGACACACTACGCAGATCTACCACGTCAAGTACACATAAAAAAGAAAACATATCCACCATGCAACACCCAGTGAGGACAAAGTTATTTCCCCCCATTTCTTATAAGGCTCTTCATAACCATGTTTTTACTACGTCTTAGATTTTTGGAGAAAACACTTTTTACATTTAGGCCTATCCATGAGTAGCAAAAGAGCAGGCTTTGAAGCTACGTCACGACCAGCTTGTGTCTCGTGGCTTCGCCGCTTCTGCCGCAGCCCTCCTAATGAAGCGCCTAACGAGGGATGTTCGCAGGCTTAAGAGTAATGAAGCAAAGATCCCAGCCGGTGCAGTGGTCCATCTCACAAGTGTACCTCATGGGTATAACAAAGGTTATTCTGCATTGTCGTGAATTAAGCTTATGTAATTACCCCATAGGTGGTTGACTCAAGTCTCACGAGCGAACAATATCTTATATTTTCCAAAAAGGTTGAGAGGCTGTCACCCTTCTGGTTTGCGCTTTGTTGCAACTTCTCAGCCTAAATTACACTTAATAGAAGATGTGTTGCGAAGAAAGTATAGCTGGCGAGGCTGAGAAAAATATGTGAGAAGGTATCAATGACACAAGTCACTATGTTTGGTGATGATCAATAGGTTATTAGCTGCCGAAATCAAACGTTACTCTTGATCGCTTTGCTGATTAATATATTTGAGTAAAAGGCAATGGCATGGAACGGGTATACTCTATTAGTTTTCAAGCTTGTAGTTGTCCATGTTGACAAAAAGGTCCATAAATGCCAAAATTGTGCAAAAATAAAATAACAATTAATAAAAATAAGTGACGTTACCCATTATTGTTAGTAGGAACGCCATCAGAGAGTTATTAGCTAATGAAGAAATACTTCTTTTGATTGAAATTTGCTGTCCAATTACCATTAACTGATATCTTTGAGCTCTTTAGACAGCCGCACCTGGAGTTGTATCAAAGAGGTCTCCTCCGACTCGCATCTGAAGACTCGTTCTATTGACTGATATCTGCTTTCTTCAACGCTCCAAGTCGACAACAAATTTACCTTATAGGAGCAGACTCAGTGAGACAACCCGTCAAGGATGAATTTTATCCTGGCGGTTTTTCTGTCTTTCGTCTTCTTAAGTTTGGTGGGAAACAGCTGGGTTATTTTCATCACCGCAAGAAGGAGAAGATTGCAGACAACAGCCAACTGGTTTATTCTTTCCTTGGCGGCGGCTGATCTGGGTGTTACTTGTGCATCTTCGCCCTACATGATCTGCGAAGTGATTTTGGATACGTGCAAGGAAGTAATAGGTATGATTTTCGCCTTTTTCTTCGCGAATGTCTCCGCCATGGGGTTGATCGCCATAGTTGCGGAACGCTATATTGCCATCGCGCATTCGCTGAAATACGTCCTTGTCTTCACTACCACCAGAAGAACATTATTTATTATTGGAATCTGTTGGGGATTACCATTTCTGTTTAAAATTCCCTTTCTTAGGTAGTATTTACATTTTTCTTTTTGTAGTATTACCAACAGTACTTCTCTTGACAGCACATTTTCATATCCTATTGATTGCTCGCAAACTCTCTCTGCAAATGAGAACTCTCATGAAACAAGTTAGATTCAACATAACTGCAAACTCTTTGAAAATAAAGGAAATTAGAAACGTGGGAATAAAAGCATCCACAGTGAGATTGGTTACTGTACTTGTTGCTATTTTTACCGCTTGTTATGGAATACGATTACACGTCTCGATATGTTACACCTTCGAAACTTGTTTAGTGTCTGAACATACACCAGTAATAGGTAGATTGCTTCTACTGGCCAATTCTACGTTGAATCCTCTAGTTTACGCGTTCCTCAAAGAAGATATCAAGAGAGAATCAAAAGCTTTTCTTCGCCGCAAGATGCATGTAAAAATACGTCCCTTCCAGGTTCATCCAGAGTGACAAGTTAGGAAAAGATTTCCTTTCAGCAATGCTGACACAACAAAGTATAAAATGGTGCAAAGTGGTCCGTGAACATTGTAAATACATTTGAATTTAGTACTAGTTGTATTACTGTCGATTCATGGAAATAAAACGAAAGGCTACTGAATGATTTGAATGTTTTAAACTATTTCAGCAGAAGGGTAGTTAATTTCACCCCTCAGTTTGTCAATTTGTCAATTC